CCCCGGGGAGCAACCTGGCTGGGGAGGGGGGTCAGGGTCCGTCCCGATGAGGTAAGTCCTCCAGCCGGGCTCCTGGCCATGACTCAGTGGTGTCCCTGGCCCTGGCACTGCTGACTTACGCTGGTGGCGGTGACAGAACACCCGGATTTAATGGACGGGGTACAGCTTCTGGCAGCAGCAGCTCCCAGCCCTGAGATTAGGAAGGGGGAGGCAATTTGCCATCAGCGTCCCCGTTCCCCTGCAAGTTTTTTGGCTTGCAGAACAGCATGCTGCAGAGACACGTTATTTGATGATATCTAAGGAGGTCTTCAGGTTCTTCTGGAGAGCTGGGAGCAGCTGGAAGCAGCTGGGGGATGCTCAAGGAGGTTGAGAGCTGGGGCAGGTGGTGGGGTTGGGGGGGTGAGGTTAGAATTCTCCATTTTCGCTTATGGAGGAGTAGGTGGGGAGGGAATAAGGGAGCCAAGGAACAGAGTGAGGTCCCCATCAGCTTGAGCCATCCCAGCTCCTCACAAAGCTCCTGGGGGGGGACACAGGAGGGTGGCTGGGACCTCCCCCTGCCTCCTCCCTGCCTGTCCTTTGCAGCTCTCCTGCCTTCTCCAGAGGGAGGAGGAGGGAGGAAGAAGCTGAGGTCCTCGTCGTTTCAAGAGCCTGTTGATTATCCCACCATGCTCCCTAAGAAGTGGCCATTTACCACAGGCCCTGTACATCCTCCCCGGAGAGGGAAGCCCAGGGTACAGGAGGATGAGAGGCCTCGATGGCTCTGAAGGAGACGGCAGAGATGGAGCAGGGAGGGAGAACCCAGCCCACCGCTGGCGGAGAGGGAAAACAGACCGAAACAGAGGAACTGAGAGCGTGCTGAAGCAGCTGATGACAACCCAAACAGCAGGAGAAGGCTCCTGCCTGCCAATTAACGAGGCTCCGGTGCTAATTTGCCACCTCGACTGCACTTCTGAGCTTGTCAGGAGACAGGAATAAAATAAAAAAGCACCAAAAAAAGACAAAGCTGCAAAAGAGACAGCACGGTTTGGGCTTGCCTCTTGGCTACCCAGCTGTCGCTGGGCTTTGGAGAGGCAGGAGGAGGCAAGGAGGCGGCTGGTGGTGAACCCCCCCAACCCGCCCCGAGCATGGAGTGGGAAGAGGATGATGACAAGTCTCCGTGGGCTTGTGTTGGCAAAGCAGCTCTAGGCACGGCACTGCTTAACCCAGGGCTCTGGGTTTCCCAGGGATCACACCCCATGGTCTGCGTGTCCAGGAGCATCTCTGGTACCTGCGGCGAAACCTTATTATAAGGGAGAAGCCGGAGCAGCCCCGTGCCAGGGCAGAGGGGTCCGCAGGCAGTTTGCCATCTGCCAGCAAAGTGTGTTACCTGGAGCCGTCCAGCCCTCCCTCCTCCTCCAGGGATGTTTTCCCCGCTCCGTGCTCTTCTCCTAGGCTGATACATAGCTGGGAGCTGGGGGGAGAAACTGAGGCAGGCTGGAGCAGGGATGCAGGCAGGGATACAGATTTAGCCCTACCTGTGAGCTCTTTGGTTCAGGTGTAGCCCATCACCAGCTGTGTCGGGGCTGGGAGATGGAGGTGGGACCAACCCAGACCTGGGAGCTGTCCGCAGGGATGCTGGGAGAGAGCGCTGCCCATAATCCCGCCCTGCTGCCGGGGCCGGGGGCTGCTGCTGCTCTATCGCACCCATTTATCCCGAAAAAACGGTGGAAGTGGTTCTTTCTCAAAATACAGCAATTTGGCAGTAAAGTCAGGGAACTGCCCCCATCTCTTTATCCATTCAGTCAAAGAGGGGTGCAGCCCCACGCTGCAGGGAGCCGGTGGCTGGGGACATGCTCGGTGTTGCTGTCTCTCCTTGTCTGCTGCTCCCTGGGATGAGAAGGGGCCGTGCTGGCTGGCG